CCCCCGGTTGACCAGCACAGTCCACTCGAGCCCTGAGCCATATGTCATGGCACGGACAAGCTGGTCTTTGAGCAAACAGGACGTCGGCGGCCCGCCCTTTGTTTGGCTGATGTTTGGTCTATTTTCGCTGCTCCCCACTCCGTGACCGAGTCGAGTTGAGTTGCTCTGGGCTCATGGCTCATCCGACATGGGATCAAACGGCGGCACCAGTCCGGAGCAACAAGAAACAAGAACAGAATCGGAATCAGAATCAGGGCCGGAAGCAGGAGACAGAGCAGCCGGTCAGGATCGCCCTGGACTCAGCACGCTTCGAGAATTTTACATGGCCGAGCACAATTCTGTGACCTTGTGTCGGGTGCCTACTCCATATGCTCTGTATCAGACTGCGCTAGACACACCAAGAGGCTAATAGCCGTCGCAAAGACGAAAAAGAAAAAGCATCAGCTATAGTACAACACCAATTCTGGGCAAAGCAACCTGCTAGCCAGGCCTCTTTTTAGTGAGTCACGCCAGCAGCACGTCAGCAGCACTCTGGGGTCCTGTGGGCTTTTGATTACAGGCCAGTCGCCGGTGTTGTTTTTTTCCTATTTTCCCTATGCAGACTGGAACAAGCCCCGAGGCACATTGCCACATGCCACGCGCCATCTACACTTATCAACGGTGGCTTTGATGGCAGTATGTGTATTGGCCCTCACAAAGGGCATGAATACACTCGGAACACAACAATGGATTACTTGGTAGCCCCTGTCTGCAAGATACAGTGCACGCAGCTTCATGCTATCTGCGTTTGGACTCTTATCTGGCAGCAAGTTTGATATTAGGGTTGCTGAGGCCCCGCAATCTTCGTTGCTCGCTACCCGCAGCAATGCAGTCCAGACCCAACAATACTGGGTGGTCTAGGCAGACACTTTGCGGTTATTTTGGTTTGTTTGCCCAGTCACACGCCTTCCTGGAGTCATGAACTGTTGCGATGTGCCGCAAACGGCCAAATAGGCTCCCTCGTCCAGTCAAGAGATGTCCCAATGGAACGGCAACCCTGGTTAACGGGGCAGCTCGGCGAGCAACGTGACCGGGCATCCGCAACCAACAGTTCTTTGTGCCAGTCACTCACTCCGTACTGCGGTTTACGTTTTCCATGCGCAGCAGGACGGCCCGGCGGGCAATTATGGGCAGAGGTTGTATCTGGCCGTGGGCCGAGTCCGTCGCCCGCCGAGAGCACTCGAGCTCCAGTTGCTGTTTGTGGTTGTGTGGATGAGACTATTGCAGGTGTGTGGCCCGAATGGCTCGGCTCTCCACACAACCACATCTGATGGGGGACCAGACTGACAGACAATGCCTAGCGTTGGCAAAGTCTATCGAGGGAGAGAGATGTGCAGCCGTCAGCAATGGGCACATGTATCATTTTTGACAGGACTTGTCCCTTGCGTGCCCAGCTGGCGCGGCTCGCTGTCCTGTCGGAGACGGGGTCTCTGCCACGGGTCTCTGGAACCAACTCTCTCGACTCGACTCGACTCGACTGGTGTTGTTGTTGTTGTTGTCGTCGTCGTCGCCATCCATCTCTCTGCCCGTGGGCTGCTCCGCACTCCATGTGAATGGGGCTTCCTACAGTTCCGTCCATGTTGGGCACTCAGCCATGGCCAATTGATATGTATTGTACGGGCAACACATTCAAGGATGCGGACGGAGTATCTCTATTGTCTTCCTCGCACCCCTGTCAACTGCACCCCGCCACTAGCCTCATCTCGTTATGTCCACCACTGGCGTTCTGAATAATTTGTGAGGCGTCTGCGCATCTGCAGTGCACAGGCAGAGCAGAGCAAAGGCAGCGCTGATACCGGGGCTTCGACAGTATCAGGCCTCGTTGTTTTCTTTGTCTCTCCGCTGCCGCAGGTACCGTTTATGTCGATTCTGCACGACGATCCACCCTGCTTTTTACTGGTCTCACTAGCCGCACTCCGTGTTGGTGCCGTCTCTCGCCTCTCTTCCAATGTCGACCAGGGGCACGCACACAGACCCCCCCTTCCAACAGCTCAAGACAATCATTTGTCCTACTCCGTACCCTCTTTCGGACTTGATCGTGGTAGCCCAGGTACGGAGTACTCATGGCAGAAGAAGAAACCCGCTGCCTTAGCAAAGTGATCGGACGCCGTCCCATCGCCAGGGTCTCGACACCTGTCATGGAGTACAAGAACGCGGCACCCCTCTAGCCCTCGTGTTTGTGTCATTTGCTTGTTGAGAGGCCGTTCCTTTCTGTTCCTGTCGTGCTCATCGACGTTTATAACTTTGAGATTCATCCATCCCCATTTTACTTAACCCACTTCCTCCCTCGTTTGTTGGCCTGTCGAGCCCTTTGGTGTCTTGAAGGACTCTCTATACGCGCACTCCGCAGGCCACCGTCACAACATACGTTTTGAAGCTTCGAATATACCACTAGTAGTATTACTTACATTCGCCATACAATACGTTGATTACGCGAGTCGGATTGCTGGGGAACAAAAAATGTATACGACAATGCAAGCACCGCTAGAGCAAGGTGGCTCGGCGCTGGCGGGCAACTCGACAAAGATGGGCATCAAAGCAATCACTCATGTTGAAAGCTATACTCCACGAAAGCTTTCAGATGACCTCCCTTCCATCATGCTCCCTAAGCCCATGGTCCACCCTCACACCCCACCAGAGTCTACAACAAGCAGTCCACGACTAAAGCTGGAGGGTGAGTTTCAACATTCACATCAAATCCAACTGGCATGCTAACCCATATGCTCAGGCCCCTTCCCAAGCATCTCGAGAGATTGTTCTCCCCTTCGCAGTAGTATTTCTTCTTTGGGCAGCCCAAGAAATCATTCACTCGTACGGCTTCCCAGCCTCGAGGAATTCGATCTTGGCGTTGAAGCTCTTGCAAGATCATATGGCCCTGCTCGTCCTTACACGCCTCCCTCGCCACTTCGCAGCCTGAGACGAACCTCAATCCTCCCTCAGCCCTTGCCCTCGCTGCAAGCATACGTTTCTCAGGATCATTATGCCCCTTATCACATGAACGACGCCTACATCCATGGCGTCTCTGCATTAGACGGCTATCCTAGCCCTCCCCCAGATGGCGAGAATAGGCACATCAACCAAAAGTATACCACCGAGGAAGGAGATTTTATCATTTACGCTTGGCACGACAAGAAGTTGAAGTGGCAGCGTATCAAGCAAGATTTCGCCGCCATGTTTGGTCGAACACCTGAGAGAACCGTCCAAGGCCTTCAGGCTTGGTACTATCGCATGAACCAGAGGATTCCACTATGGGACCAGGATGGCTGGTTGATCTTTGATAACGAGGATGACTTGGAGCCCAAACACATCAGCATCAAGTGTCGTGAAAGAGACAGTCAGGACAAGCCCATGGAGCCTCTTGGCCTTGCCCAACGTTATCCCGAGCGCGCTATTCACTATTCCTGGGTTGATCCCGACCTGAAGCGCAAGTGTCAAGACTGGGGTAAGCTGATCTATGCTCTGACCCACAGACGTACCCCGCAAAATATACTGACATTTGTTGAATAGCCGCAAAGCGAGCAATGCAATACCGTGACAGACGGGAACGAAGAAAGAGAAAGGAGCAGAGGCGTCTTAAACTCTAAAAGAAAACCCCCTCCAATAGAAGAAACAACAACTACATCCAAACGCGACATGGCAACGACATTCATTTTTAATAACGACGTGGGCGGCCTCTCCATGTAACACTATTCCCTAAGCACTGACAGTCCTTTCTTTCCTTGCTTACTTATAATACTTTCCTATGTCTTGCAGTTGTCAGCAAAAAAAAAACTAAAAAACTCTTTTTTTTAAAGTTTCATCTTACACCAAAGTACTGGGGTATGCATATATCACAAGGGGTTTCCTCAAGCATTAGGAGTTGATGGCATATGGCGAATCACAGGGTGTTGGTTCGCAGCCTGGCATAATGCTTTGTATGACTATAGTTTCGGCATGCGAGCCTAAAAGAAATTTCATTATATCATAGTGAAGACGGCATGATTTGTAATGTCTACGAAAGACATGGGATGACGTCTGTGTACGTATAATGGCAGGTAATTGAATGTTATTTTATCTTGACAGTCTTGTACGATATTTCAAAAAAAAAGTGATACTATTACTACCCGTCTTGCTCTCTCATCATGAAGTGACTTGACTGGTATAACTGGCTCTCTTTGTTCGACAAGCATCGTCGTTCGTTCCTTGTCACAAAGCCTCGACTCGCCCGCAACGACATGATCAGATTGTACGATGGCCTGTGTCCAATAATTATTGTAAGAGGTTGTGTCGACAAGCCCAGGCCTTCTTTCACCAGAGCAACCACGACACAACCACACGCCCTGAAGCCAGATAATCTTGCATATCCTATATTTTCAGCATCTGTCTGGCTCGTGTGCTCGCGCATTTCCGTCCCCGTTTCACGCATGGCGCAGACCACGGGTAAGCAGGATCTACCCTCCCTCCCTTCCGTTCCCGGCACGACAAAGAGGGTGCATGAACTCTCCCAACAAGGCCCATTCTTTGATCACAGCTCTCTCTCTGACTTCTATTTTCTTGGCCACCCAGTTGGTCTGCCCTTCCACCCTATCCACATATGTATGTATCTGTTCCGCGCATTGTACCCGTCGTGGGTTTGTGCCGCCGAGGTGGGTTGGTTCACGGGGCAACCCTTGGACCCTATGGGGAACCCTTGTTTGAGGCCATACTACGTACCAACTAAGGAGGCTGCCACCCCAGTTTCCGTTTCCGGTGGTTCTTGTGGCAACGTGATATGGGAACTCTTTGTGCATAACGCCGAACCCCGCGTCGTTTGATGCCGGGTCATGTACTCGCGGGACGGGTAGGCATGTATGTTTGCGTAGCGGCATATTTGGGAAGAATTGCTATGAATAGGGTCTGTGGTCGGCGCATCATGCGAGATACGATTGTGATGCATGCATGGGGCGTGAGAGTAAGCAGGGAAAGGTGTCCAAGGGTTGCCGCTAGGGGAATGCCGAGTTTCGCTTCATGAATTCTTTGATGCGTGCCATTCGGGCGTCGTCGTTGTCATCGATGCCCCCCTCGAGTATCATCTCGTCTTGTTCTTCGTAGTACTCGTTGTCATACTCCTCCTCGTCAGAGTTGTTTCCGTGGCGGTAGACGTAGGCGTCACGACCATATTCGTCGTCAGAGTCAACTTCGTCTTCGGGGTAGTCTGCTGTGTAATAGTTTTCCGCTGTTGCCAGTCAGCACATTTCTCTTCTGTTATTCATACAGTCTGGCTGATTTGAGAATTAGATGTTTGTGTGCTTACCATTCTCATCTTCATCGTCTTCGCCGAGCTCGTCATCCTCATCGAGTGATGACCCGAAGAAGAGAAGACTTTCTTCCTCGTCTTCGAGAACAAGAATGCCGACGTCGGCTGGGCCCGCGTCCAAAGCTACGGAATTGGCGGGAATACGGACGTACTCTTCGATAACCCAGTCGTCGTCGTCTCCCTCATCACTGAGGTCACTCACTGTGGTATCAGTAGAAGTTCCTGAGCTTTGGGGAGGGGCAAGCTCTGGATGCCGTTCGTGGAAGCGCTTGGCCGGGCTCTTGGGTTTGAATCTCAATGGCCTATTGTCCTGCTCCATACTGTGAAGGTTGGCACCTAGCTCGTTAAGTACCCAGGCATTCATGTCGTTTGCTATTTTATCCATGTCCTCATTATGGCGATTCATCAATGAATCAGGCAGAGGATCTCGGGTCGGGATTACGTTTTGCGAAGCTGTGTCACGAGATTTATTTGTTACGCCTGGACGCTTTAGCTGTCTCCGTTCTATGTCGCTCCCTGAATTCTGTTCGGCTCTGTGCAGTTCGTTCTCGAGCTGCATCGGTAGCTGGCTTGCTGCTAGGCTTCTTCGTGGGACCCTCCTTTTTCGCGTAGATTCCACAAACACAGCTGGACCGTATCTGGTCTTCTTGGAGACGCCAGAATCAGGTCCTTGGGCCGCCCTTTTTGCTAGCATAGACTTTGACATATGGAACCTACGAGGTTCAAGGGGACGTGGCGTTGTCTCACTGGGCTGCGCTGGTTTGGCGGGTATATGCGCTTCATCTTTTCTTTTATCGTGACTTGCGACCTTGTCTGGGGCTGACACATGGATGATGGGCTGGGTAGACTTGCCCTCCCTTGGAGGTTGTTGACCAGCTACCTCGCGACGCTGGTATGCCCAATTGCTCCCGCTTCGATGACGCTTGGAGTCTTGATCAAATTCTGAAATATTGGTAAGCAAGTCATTGCAAATGGACATTAGGGGGTATCTTGTTCAAAGACCAACGAAGAAATGTGACGGGCGACTCGGCGACCCGCTTGCGCTTCACACGGATAAGTTGTGGTGGGATTGACATGGTGGATGAAGAACCTCTGTGTAACCGCGTCGGGAGTGAGAAAGCAGAGAAGTATAGCGAGGGCCTCGGTCAACAGGCCGCTGGCCTTGATAACGAAAGGAGCTCGCGTGTGAATATGTTATATTCTCGGTGATGGTGTTGCAACAAATTGCGATCCGACCTAACCAAGTATGTACGTATATGTGGGGCCACCCCTTGGGGGTTTGGGTTGACTGAAGTGGGGGGGGATGAATGCATCACTTGAACTTGCCTGGCAAGAGCAATTGGTGCGGCAGAGTAGTCTGCAGCTACGGACTGGTTCATCGTGGCGGACCGGCCGCTGATCCACAGGGCTGGCCGTCAACTGTCATCAAGATACCTACCTACTTTAGGTAGGTACTTATCCTATGTACCTCGGTAGTTTCTCCGTGCTCCGTGATGGCTGGAGTTTCGTCTTTGTTTTTCTCGACACGGCGGTGACGTGATGCTTCGAGTTCATGAACAGAATTGACTACCACTCGCCTTTTGAGCGAGCTGCAGAAGTGACATGACAAATCGTCAAGGCCGACGCCTCGCTGGCCGGCCACGTTGGATAAACAAAAAGTCAAGTTAGGCTCTGGTCCCGCGCCACGTCACATCGATTGGCCATTCATTTGCATCAGATCATGTCCACTTGAGCAGAGCAGCTACGCACTTGGTACAGCTGGGCCTGGAGTACCAGACTTGCCAAGCCCAGTACGCGGGAACTCGTGTACATTGATTCAGCGTTACCTCTTGACGACCTCTTGAGACCCCCAGAGACCCCAAGAGACCGACGAGGCCGCCGGCACGGAGCACTCGCGTTCCATCCATCCAATTGAGCAACGCACTCCAGCATCCCATGGCTGGCCGGCCCAACGCGGGGAAGCACCAGGCTGATGAATCAAGTCAAGCTGGAGCTACGGACTGGACGAGTGGCAATCGAGTAAAGCTCGAGATGCCTCCAGGTCGAGGCCTCCCTGCCCTCCTCCATGCTTCAGTGTCGTCACTGGTGTGCAAGACGGCAGACTTGATTTCCCCATCTTCCAAAACCTGCCGTTGGCCTCGCGGAAGTCTCCTGATCCGACCAACACCCCGATTCTTTGTTGAACTTGATAAAACCTTCACACGTACAACACTATTGTTGACTTAGGCTGGTGCTGCCAGACAACACGACGCCCTGACAACTGGATTCTATCTACTTTGCCACCGAGCAGACTGTCCTCGGCAAGCACACATTCGCCCTTCGAGCAGTGTCTTTTTGACTGCGCACGGCTTGCTCATTACCTCCAACTAGGCAGGCAGTCAAAGAGAATGCCTACAGACAAAGTGCCGGTAACAGTCAGCTATCGGAAACGGGGCCTTGCGCCTCCAGTATTCGTAGCTGGCTCGTTTTCTGATCCGCAGTGGGAGCTGCAGGAAATGCACGGCGTCATTGACGAATCCGGAGAGCATCATTTTACTATCCAGATCCCCGTTGAGCCTGGAAAGGAATACTATTATAAATTCAAAGCCGCAAACCAGGACGGCTGGGTATTGGATGGGCATGCTACCGTCGGTTCGTTACTCTCCTGTGCGATGCCTTGTGATGCGATGCATCAGACGCCAGTAACTCCGTGTCGCTAATCACTTCAACAGTCAAAGATGACCAAGGAAGGCCTTGCAACTTGCTCAAAGTCCCCATGACGAGCAACGGCGCAGACCGATCCCATACGCCGCTCGTTGAAGCTACCGAACGGAAGGATGACGGCCCCGTTGCACCAGGCCAGCATACCATCGTGGCCTCGGGCCCCAAGTCACTGCTGCCCAACGTGTTCCGGGACAAGACGCACGAGGCCGATCAACGTTCCGGGACTCCCATCAAGCAGGTCGCAGAGGTTGCTGCTGAAGTTGCTGATACAGCAGCAAAACTCGACGAGGTGAGTTCGTCTCGACAGACTCTGGGAAGCTTTCTGTCCCGACATTCACACTGATGAGCCAGTAGTTTGACACCGCAGTATCATCACCGGCCCCCATCCAGCTACGCACAGACAACGACATGGCCGTGGAGGAAGAAATTGCGACGCCCTTATTTGCTCATGAGTCTTTTGGAGCGTACGAATTTGTTGATGACGGTCTCGACCACGACTACTTTGGCAAGAACCCGAAGTCGCCCAATTCGATGGTATCAGACAGTGGTTGCAGTCTTGGCGATGTGGATATTGACGATCCTACACTGGAGAAGTTTCCTTCCGACAGACCATCCGTGATTGATACCTTGCGAAAGATTCAATCGAGCACAGATGAGGGTCGATCTAGCTTTGAAGATGGACAGCACTCAACCCCCGCAACGTCGAGAAGGACAAGCCTGGACTCCTTGGACGGAAATGGCGGACAGCTCAGCCCGACATCAGTGAGAAAGCAAGACAACAGGGCATCAAGAAGTAGCTTTGGCCGCCCAAGGTCCGCAGTCTCGCTGGAATGCATTGACGAGGAACCGAAAGCTTCGGGTGATGTAAGCCCGGGGACGAAACACGATCCAGAGACACAAGCCAGTGGAACTCAAGGCGACGGAAGCACAACCGACGAAGATAGCGGCTTGGTGATGAAAATTGCCAAAGTATGACGCTGATATCCGTTAGAGCATCATGGATGGAGCCTTGAACATGGTATTTCTTTTTTCATCATTGCGAGTTGGTAGTACGTGGCAATGGATGCATGATGACCTAGGTTCGACAATTAAGCTTAAGCGAATAATTTCTTTAGTATTAGTATTACTAGTAAAGAGGGTGTAGCTTTTTGAGTCAGTCCCACCTTCGGATGAATCCAGTAGTGGCTGTCCATGTACGAAGCACGGTGGGAACTGTTACACCATGTATAACTCGAGTTCTTTGACTTTTGAGAAGTACTCCGTAGCTGCGTATGATTCAGGTACACGTGCACATGTTTCATGTAGAGTACTGAGATGGCGCTATGCGGTGTCGATATAACGACGAGTTGCCATGCTAGTAAGGCACTGACTGCCATGTTTTCACTCCAACAAGGGCGAACTACGTCGTAGAATACTCATCACGCTTCTCTTTTAGCGAGCCTAGATCTCGACTCCGGCATCCTGATGTACAAATTATTCTCATGAAGTAGTATCTACCTAGGTGCCCACTACTAATCCTTTATAAACAGAGGGCAAATCGTACGGACGTGAATGAAACTCGCGGCATCTAAACATTACACATGGCTGGATGCACCAATCGAAGTCACATAACGATAGGAGGCAAAACTGCAATGCCTTGCTCCTTGTTCTGTTGACTGATGCCATGGCATGCAAGTACGGCCACTGCCTGTTCAAGACGACATACACACCTACAACATTTTCACATCACGCGCACTACTTGGGCAGTGGGTTCTATCGAGTTCACATAATGAAGCCTTCCTGGAAGTTTGTGGACTTGCCATTGGGGGATGAGTAGACTGATTACCACACAAACGTACTTAGACCTAGGAACTTGGCTGAACAAGTCCGAAGGCCTGGAGTGCACGGAATAGAATACGGTTGTTGAAGGTGTTCACGTGTTGGGGTGTGTTCCTGGTTGTTATCCACAAGTTGCCGCCCCCTGCTATTGAGAATAGGACTAGTGGGACCCATCAGTCGCTCGACTCACGCCCCCTGTTCAACCTGCACCCCTCACTTCGCACTGTCTGCACAAATGCTCGTGCTTCCACGTCCGTGATGGCTGTTGTTGGCTGAAGCATTTCGCACAATACCATCACTTCCCACAGCCAGGCAGCAATATGGACACTTTCGAAATTTTCTCATAAACAAGAATATAGTAAAGCCGCCAAGACGCTACCATTGGAACCTCTCGCTTATCGACGGTATTAAAGTGAATATTGTGGCATGTTTTATCGAGCCGTTGTACGATGGGCAACAATTCTCAATCGAGGCCAAAGAAGACCAATGTTCCTTATTTCAGGTAGATATGCAAAGTGACTAGCGAGCCTCTCCTCTAATGTCTCTACAAACTATCCCGGCAATCCCTTCATAGGACTCCCAGGCCGCCTGAGTTTATACCCAGCGCTGGCTAGCCGCGTTAAACGATGAACAGAGTGCCGCACACTTCTAACAATGAGAGCAGTTTTCAGCTACGTTAAATGCCTCAACCGAGCTCTCTAGAGCTGCCCGAGACCGCCACCGTCTCAAGCCGACTATCTGATGGACAGCCACAAACGCAGAGCTCGCTGTACGAGCCGAGACACGTCGGCGCGTGGTCTCCTGACGTAGCTGAAGTGGCGTCTAATAACCTATCAGGGGAACCGGCGTTTCTCTGGGAGGAAATTAGATCCCGTCTGGGGTAAACGTTATCGCTCCTGCGGTAATTAGAATCCAGTCTACGGGACGCGTTGGGCGACCATCACGGCTTGTTAACTCCACTTCATCATGACAGAATTCTATTGTACCTCTCCGTATTGCAAGCTTCCGAATGGTCGGCTGCTTTGTATACAGGTTGCCGCTGAGCTGTGACCAGACCATGAAACAACGCAACTTTGAAAGAAAACCGGTGGCATCAACCAATGACCAGCAAATAATCCCGCTTGGGGATAGTACTGAATTGCTCCCCCCGTTCCTTTGTTGTTTTTCATGGCCATGTGAGATTACAGGAGAGACAATGACCCGCCAGCAATATCAAGCTGCAGTGAAGTGAGAAGGATTGTTGAACATGAGGCATCATTCGGGAGTGTCTGGCGGATCAATGCCTGGCAGGTTGTCTATATAACAATGCCAAATATTCCAGCACTTGACTAACTAGTTGCAGACGCCTTCACACTCACAGTTGTTGTCTTCCTCTTCCTGTCTTTCTTTAAACAAATTCAGTTACCCATTATCAAATCGTCACTTACAGCCGCCAACATGCGTCTTCTACTTACATCTGCCTTGGCCACCACGGTCTCGGCCACAGGCCTCATCCTCCCTCTGTACATCTATCCAGCGGCAACATCGGACGACGGCGCAGCAAACTGGGCGCCCGTCTTCAACGCTGCAGCATCCAACCGTGATCTCTCCTGGCTGACCGTCGTCAACCCTCACAACGGGCCCGGCGACACTCATCTCCCCGGCAACAACGACATCAACTACATACAGGGCGTCACCAAGCTCAACACTCACCCCAACATCAAGCCCATTGGATACGTGCGAACCAACTATGCCCAGTTTTCCCTGGATCAAGTCAAGCAGGATGTTGCCGCGTGGAAGGGCTGGGACACGTACTCGGCTTCCAACATCTCCGTCCAGGGCATCTTCTTTGACGAATCGGCCCCGAACGCGCCCTACATGAGTGCTCTGGTGGGATACACGCGAGCCGCGTTCGGAAGGCCCATCACCGTGACATGCAACTTTGGCAAGGCTGTTGCGGATGAGTTCTATGACATTTGCGACGTGGTTGTTGCCTTTGAGAGCTGCCTGAACTGCCCGGGGCTGCCGCAGTACAAGGACGCGGCGACTATCCAGGCCAATATCCCCGCGAATAGAATGGGAAAGGCGGCGGTGATTCTGAATTACTTCACAGGAACGGCGTTTGATGGCACTTTCGCTGATGCGACTTTGGTGCACCGATATTTCCAGACGGCCAGAAACATGGGGCTTGCGTGGGCGTACTTTTGCTCACAGGATTATAATAACCTTTTGGCCTGGCCGGCTACTATCTGGGAGGATGTGAAGGCTTTGTCTTGATTGGACTGCACAGATAGTGTATGAGCGGTTTGTGAACCATGGACATGGTGTGCAATTCCATCTCGTTGTACAAGGCTATCTATCCTTGGGGAGGGGAGGGGACGACGAAGCTGTAGTTGATGCTGTTGTGAGGGTGTGAAATTCTAGTTTAAAGAGTTGGAGTAAATAAATAAAATAAACCAAAATAAAGAGTTACATAGCTATTTTTGACCTGAATAATGAATTCTTGCTACACTAACACGCTACCCCTGCAGTGAATAGCCGACGTCACCGGCCTCCCGTCCCATCTTTACCAAATTTTCCTTCATATGCTCCGCCAACTTCTTCTCCTCGCCTTGCAGTGCGTCAAAGTGCAGCCTGTCTATCCAGTTCCTCAGCCCATGCTGCAGGACATTCCTCGCCCTCAACGTAGCACCGTCTACGTGCCCAGCGCTCCCGTGCAAGGTCATCCTCTCCACGTTGGCGTCGTAAACGCCCCTGTGCACAATATTATTATTGTAAAACACAATATCACCCGGCTCCATCTTTACAACTAACTGGCCGGGCAGCTCCTTCTCATAGGGGTCGGCGTTCCTCTCCGTGTCCGTCCTGGCGCGGAGGTGGGAGCCGGGCACAACCACGAGACTCGCGTCGTCGTAGAGGGCTAGATTCCACTGGGCCGAGAATGCGGGCTTGTTTAAACGGTCCAGCTCCTCTTGGGCAGAGGCGGTGGGCGGAATGTCGTCCCTGTGCCAGCGGAGCTCGAAGTCGTAGTCGGGCCTAACGAGCAGGTTGAAGAGCTCCATGACCAGGTCGTCCTTGGAGCACTGCAGGAGCTGGAGGGTAGGGTCGATGATGGCATCCGAGAAGTAGACCTTGATGAATTCTTCCTGGAAGGGCATGTCCGGGTGCATTACGCCCTGGACGCCCCAGATCCCCTCGGCAGCTGGGTTTGGCCCGTCAATCTTCCACGGCGGGAACTGCTTGGGGAGGGTGCGGACGTCGGGCCATTTGCCGTGGCGGGCGTTGGATGTTGCGGCCGAGGCGGCCTGGCGTAGTTTCTCGAGAGTTTCGCCGGTAAAGGCCTTGGGGACGACGACGAAGCCGTCCCTGTTGAGGCGCTCGAGGAGGGTTGGCTGGGTCATGGTGTTGTCGGTTGGTGATGATGTGGTGTTTGTGAGGGTTGCGGGTGAGGCTGTATATGTATGTACGGCGCGCATAAATACGAGGGAGAAAAGGACGGACCGTCTTTTCAATGCAAGTCGACTAAAGCAGGTGATGATTATCAGATGATTTTTGACTGGTTCCTGGTCTCGTTGAAGCTGCGCAAGCACGTTGGCAACGTTGCATGTAATACTAGTAGCGAAGAAGGCGGCAAGCGGGGTTGAAGCAGTCCGGTCAATTGATTTAACTTTTTACTCGGTGTGTTTTGAAACACGCGGACGAATGCTGCATGCTGATCCCATCCATTATGTACATGAGTAGTTGCCTCGTACCTAGCAAGGACCTGGGCATGTACAAGCTTGAGTTGAGGCGGCGAGAGGCAACACCAGTCAAGTCATGTCTGGTGCGTGTGGCGTCAAGTGCATGTGGTAACTGGTCTCTCTCCGAAGCCTTCTAGAAGACGACAGGCCCCAGTTCTATCGCCAGGGCTCCAGTCCCCCCAAAAATATTTCGACTCTACGGAGTATGCTCTTCGGTAACAAGCATACGCAATGGCGCCCAGTTCGGTCTGCTCGTTGTGCATCTCGACCCTAGGTCGTCGGATGGCGCCTCGTGCCCTCATCCAGCCGCCCCTGGCGCAACGCTTCGTTTCGCGACAGGCCAAGGCACGACCATCTCGCATGGTGCTCTCCGACAGAGTCCATCAATCCCCTGCCTCTGCTGATAAGCACAGGTCGAGACGTGCCTCAATCGATGGCCCCTTTGCCGGGATGAATAGACGAACAGCAAATGTTGACCGAAGTCGAGGATCGAGGGAGGCGCGAGGGTCCTCAAGAAGAGATTCCACCGACACGACTTCCCGCCGCGATGAGCGACGAAAACCTGACGATCGCAAGGCATTGAAGATGCAGCGCGCCTTGGCTACTGTTTCGTACGGACGGAGGACCAGTCTAAAGGACAAGATGTCTCACTACGACACTTTTGACCAGTTTGACTTGCTGCCAATTGTCAAATCAGCCGTGACTGAGGAGCTGTTCAAGAACATGGTCGACATCAAACCGACACCGGTACAACGCCTGGCCATTCCCGCGCTATTGGGACAAGCAGGCCCCGGGGAGAACAAGACCCCTAGCACGGGGATGGAGTCATTCTTGCTGGCCGCAGAGACGGGTTCCGGAAAGACGCTGGCGTACCTCCTGCCCGCCATCGACGCCCTCAAAATCGCTGAAGCTGAAGACCCCGACATCAAGGCATACAAGGAGCGGTTTGAAGAAGAAAAGGCGCGCCAACAGGCGGCAAACTTCAAGGGAAGAACATTCGACGAGCCACATCCCACAATGGCACGGCCAAAAGTCATCGTCTTGGTGCCCACCGCCGAGCTGGCCCAGCAGGTCATGAAAGTGTCCAAGTCCCTGTCACACGTTGCCAAATTCAAAACGGAAATGCTGTCCTCGGATCTCAAGGCACAGCAGATCCAGCGAAATCTCTACGGGCCAAAGGGCGTCGATGTCATTGTTGCCACACCCCATCTGCTCGCATCCATTGCGGACTCGGACCCAAACATATTATCTCGAGTATCTCACCTCATTGTTGATGAAGCGGATTCCTTGCTCGACAGAAGCTTTGCGTCAGTTACGACAAGCATCGTCGAGCGAGCCATGCCATCTATGAAGAAGTTTGTGTGCTGCTCCGCTACCATCCCCAAGAAACTGAACAATTACTTGGCCACCAACTACCCCAAAATGATGCGCATCACCACGCCCAACTTGCATGCAATTCCGCGACGGGTCCAGCTCGGCGTCATTGACGTCTCAAAGGATCCTTACCGGAATAACAAGGATCTTGCCTGTGCAGATGCAATCTATACCATTGGCAGAGAGGCGTCGGCGCACGAGGGACCTGTCAAGGGGGAGGTGGATGTTCGTCGTGTACTAGTGTTCGTGAATGAAAGAGAGAAGACGGAAGAGGTGGCAGAATACTTGCGATCCAAGGGCATAGACGCCGAGGCCCTACACAGAGACACCCCGGAGAAACGGCACGGCGAAGTGCTCAGCATGTTCACGTCGCCTGAGCCGCTACGAATTTCAACGCCTGCAGCGGCGGCGGGCCGGCGTCGCTCTCTGTCCAACGTAAAGGCCTTGGTGGTTACGGATCTGGCCTCCAGGGGCATCGACACGGTAGCTGTGCGCCATGTCATTTTGTACGATGTTCCGCACACCACTATTGATTTTATTCATCGACTGGGTCGAGCTGGACGAATGGGTCGTCGTGGCAGGGGTATTGTTCTGGTGGGCAACAATGACCGAAAGGATGTCGTTTCGGAGGTCAAGAACAGCATGTTCATGGGCCAGGCGCTCATTTAAACAGCAAATATGTACGATTTTGGGTGTAGAGTTTTATTTGATGTACGATAGATACTAGGTCGGGAAGGATGCACATAGAGCCAGACAGGCGACCGGGCATGTTAATCTCCAAAAAATAGCGGCATTACTGAGAAAATCACCACGGAATATCCTCCTTTACTATATTTTTTTTATTTTTTAAAAATAAATAGTATAACTCTAAGTACATAAATAGTATAATTACTGGATCCCAGGCAGTGGCCGCTCCGGTGGTCAAGTTCCATCTCTCTGGTCCGTGATTCTGTTGCAGCCCAGACCAAGACGGGCTAGTCCACAGTGTAGCTTCCCGCCCGCGTCGCGACGCGTCTTGGTGCAATGTACCAAAGTACTCACTCAACTCCCAAAATATCCACCTCGATACACGGAACCAGTCAGTCTTGAACAAGACAGCCACAATTCCCGATTTTGATCTCACAAAGTCTGCGTCATTGTCCTCTTTTCCTCATCTCTAGCCTAGCAGCATAAATTCTTGCAAAACAGTCAAGAGCCCAGCTCTGGTACTTTGCCAACCATGCCGCGAGCAAGGCGGGCGCGTCAGGCGCCACCAACGACCGACTCAAATTCCCCCGAGCCCGCTGCCGTAACAGATGACCACGATGAACAGCGCGGCCGTACGAGAGGCCGCACAAGGTCGACGCGATCCACGGGAGCTCGTCTGCGTCTTGACGAGGAAGATGCTATTCGTGCAGCCAACCAAAGAAGGGATGCGGCTCTAGACAGCCTTGCGAACGAGGACCCTACATCTACACCTGGCCCTGATGACACAAGAAGCTCGATTGAAATTGGACGACGCGCCATGGCTACGCCTGCCATGAGAAGGGATACCACTGGCCTGGATCTGGCCGATGACGATGTATTTGGGGACTTGGGCGACAGCTTTGCAGACGGAGATATTCCCGACGCTCCCCATTCAGCGGCCAGCTCCTCTGGGACCCTTGGCCACTTCAAAACACGACCCAGATCCCGCCAGTCCAGCATAATCGGACGCAACGATCCTCCCATCAGGCCCAGCAGCCGGGGTACCAACACGCCCGGTGTCAGCTCCTCCTTCAACATTGGCATCTTCCGAAGACGCGCCAGAGAGCCGAGCATTCTGGCGACATCTCGACGAGCACGCTCGCAAACGGGCAGTATAGCAGGCAGTGCGGCAAGCAGCAGAGCAGGAAGCGTAGCACGGGACTCTGAGCTTGAAAGCGAGGGCGAATTCGCACCAGAAGCTGAATCAACACCTCTGGACCTCAGGCGTCGATCGAGACGTAGTCAGGCACATGTGGCACGCGATCCCGCGCCCTCACCCTCGCCCTTGCCTGAGGGGCGCAGGCGCTCACTCAGAAAGCGAAAGAGCGAGGGAAATGCGCAATCCGAAAGCCCTCGACCCGAAAAGGTTGCGCGGGTCGAAGCCAACGGCGGCATAGACATCAGCAGCGACTCCGAGCTCTCCGAGTTGGCGTCGGCGTCGCCGCCAGCAGCTCACTTTGCCAGAGCGACCACGCCCATCAATATGGATGAAATCAATGCCCCCCCGGCCAGCAGCGACTCGGAAGCGGATGACAGTGTCTGGCCAGATATCCACACACTTGCCAAGAGACACCGTCGCCCATCCATCAATACGCCTCTCAGAAACAATAGGGACGACCTATCCGACGTCTCCTCACCGCCATCGCTGACGCACTCTCCCAACTATGGTACCCGGACCCGAGGCTCTAAACACCAGCGTTCTCAGCAACCCACCACCGCTGACCTTACAAACCTTCTCCCTAAGCGGCGATATAAGCATAACAGGGAAGAATCTGACATTGACACCGAAGGAGAGGACGGCGAGGATACCAGACCACGACGCGGAAAAGGCAGTCGCCCACCAAGCAGAACTACGTCCCGTCAGGGACGCAATATCCTCAAACCAAAGCAAACCCCCGTCTCTGTGCGGCGCTCCGCCAGGACAGCCTCAAAAACACACCACCACGAGGAGGACAAGGAGAATGAGAGTGAGGAGGAGCAGGATAACAGTCAGTTCCAGCCCCTTCCGGACGATACGTTTGATGTCGGGGCGTCCGTGACAGAGGATATCCAGAATGCGGATGAGCTGAAGAGAGCGAGTACGAAGTTTAAGGAAGTAGATAGATGGGAGCTGTCGTTTGAGGAGGTTACCGAGCCGTCATCGCCGCTAGGAGCGCGGTGAAGGTGACAAGGAAAACTTGATGAGTTATGGATTGGTGGTCTAGTGCAGGTGGGAGGTTGTTTACGGTGTTTGGGCGTATGGGTGCAGGATGGGAAAAGGGGCCCGGTGATTGATATTAGTTTAGCATCATGATTTTGTAGGGTGTGCTAATTTTTACTGAATACCCATGCGGCATACGGCTTGGCTAGTGACTATTCTGACGCCTTGTTCCCTGGGGCTTTGTGTGGGAATAACGTTGTCGTACCAGACTCTGTACTTGTCAGCAGGTTTTGATGACCAACAAAGAAACTTGGTTCGTGCGCATGAGCCTCAACTAATGTCGTCGACGTGGTAGCAGCGATATTCTTGCCGACTCCATACTTTATACAAACATCTGACGACCTCTCTTCGCTTTTGAGCTCGCCTCGTCCCATGGGAATGCGAGCGGCAATGCGCAATTCCTACCTATAACGCCATGATGTCTAAATACGCAATTCATATCAATCCCATCTGTCCCCATCTACTCACCCCGCCGTCTACTTCAGGCAAAGCGCCTCGGTCTGGTGTTGCACAATGTCCAGCAAGGGGTCCAACTCGTTTGGGTTTCGCAAGACAACAGTAATGTCATCCGGTAGACGCCCTGACATGGCAAGCTTCTGGGCAGGGTTAGCACCCGACTGTATGGCAAATACACATACAAAAAGGAAAGAAAAAAGGGACCAACACGCACCCGCTTCACGTCGTCAAACTTGGCCTCCTTGGCGGTATACTCTCGCATCACCTCGTCGGTCTCAAAGTCGACGTATATCCTTGTGTCGCGCAGTCTGACGACCACATTGTCTAGCCTCATGAACAGGCGGCACAGGATCAACATGCGCTGCTGGTGGACGCGCACTTTGGCGCTGTACATTGAGATTCCGTTGTCGTCCAGCTCGCTCTCGTACAGAACTACCTCGTCGAAGAAGAGGATCGGGTCGCGCCTCTTTAGTAGTTCGACTGGTATCTTTTTGTCTGTCGGTTGGAACTGCGGGACGATTGGGCTGCTTGCAGCTTCGGAAGAAGAGGGTCCATCGTATTGCTGCTGCTGCTGCTGCTGGCCTGCCACGCCCACGGTTCCCGCATAGGTGGTGGAATAGCTCCAGTCGTAGGGCTTGACAACCTCTTTGATGTTTTGTGTTGTTCCCTCTCGCGTGCTCTCCCAGTCCCGCGCGTAGGCTACCTTGAGCATGTGCTTGTCCGTCTTGTCCACGGCGTCCAGCGCATCTGGGGTGTTAAACTCAAAGTACCACTTGGAGGGTCTGTGCAGGATGGACACAATGTTGTCGCCGAATATCATCTCCGGCATGGGGATGCCGATCTTCTCGGTGAGGTGGTCGATGGCGCCGGCCTTGGAGATGGGGAGCTTGCGGGCTGAGATGGTGAAGTTTCCTTGGGAGTGGCTCTTGGTAGCGGCTTGAAGGGCATCGCGCGTGGGAAACGGCTCGTTGACGTCGTTGATATGGTTGAGGGTGGGGGGACGGCCGGTCGGCCCCGGGGGGATCGGGGGCAGGCGGCGGGACTGCATTGTGGCACGCTCTTGCGAGATTTGCTTTCGACGGTGTGATGAGGATGGCCGAGTTGCGAACTCGGCCGGATGTGACGCCGGGAGGTTGAGGCTTCCATTCTTGTCAGACTTGAGGGGCCTGGCGGGGTTCTCGGCGGGGTGGGTCGTTCCTGGCGGTTTTGTTACTTCCGTACTTGGAACACCTGCTTCTTGATGGGAAGTGTTTAATTGGCGGCTAGCTCCTGCCCTCGATTGTTCTTTTTTCTTTTCTTTTTTGGTTCTTTTTCATCTTTTTTTCCCCTTGTCTTTTTCCCCCTTCCGTATGACTATAATTATTAGGTTTCCTAGCCCGTGCCGGCTCCGGCCGAATGCCCACTTGTGACTTGGCCAGCAAACGTAGACGACTGCTCATCATACCCAGCAAGCATGTAAGTTGCGATCTTGGCTGTGCTAGGCTTGCATGGCTTTTGAAATATGTATGTGATGCTTTGTTCATGCCAAAGCTAATGTTCAGATTAACGCAACAAGATTAGTCGCGGCGGATTATACGGTGAATCATACACCCAAGATTGGAGTCCATCAAAGGTCCTACTCGCAAGCCCTTTTGACAGGCAGATGTGTTGAATACAATAGTATATGGCGCCTTTTCAACTCAGACCCTCTCAATGCCACCGACGATACAGCTTCACAATGACCTTTTCTGTGCCAACCGCAGCTGCAATACTCGTGCTCTCATAAACAGGCTCACACATTCTGGTGAATTACGATTTCCAACATGTAGTGCTGCATGTATGAAGGCGTACTCTGCCGTATCAAATTCCAAATGTAAAAAAGCATTAAACTTTGGCCCGGCTTGAGGCGGACGCTATGTTGGCGCTGCTGTAAAAAAGCCACCTTGGTGTGTATAGAGTCATACTGTATTTCTAAATTCATCTATATATACATATTCATCCTCGTCCTCTCATCCTTCTCGCAACATCAGAAACCATCACTTTACAAATTTATCTCAGAAACGGAGAGAACCATCTACTCCCACCCTTGCACAATCAACTCAAGGACAGGCATATACTACTTCCCATTCGTCTTGTTCCTTCTACTACAACGGCATCCGCCACACTTACCTTGCTCTTATTTCGGACTCAAGCCCTTGGAGCGTCAGCAACAATGCCGCAAGAAGGAGTGCGCAGACAGCCCCGGGGAAGGGCCCCGAGAGCTCCCCAGACGAATCCCTCGCCTCCAGCCCCCGTCCATGACCTGCCTGTGGGCCATCCGTGTCGACGAAGGTCTCCTCCTCCTCCCCCTCCTCCCCATTTTCGCCCAGTCACTTCACGAGACGAAGTCTTCAGATATTTCCAGTGGAATAATGGATTGCTCTATTTCGTAGAGTGTGTCAATGGAACTTCCTACTATACTGAGGTTCCTGGCTCTAGCTGGTATTACGTGAGCTGCCGACTGGGTTGGTCCGCCTCGGGATACTAGCTACTGATCGGGCACAATGCCAGATTACATGCAGCAGTGCCGCTGCATATATGGGCTCACAGCTAGACATGGCCTGGCCCAAACCGGAGGCGAATGAAAAGTCGTGGACAATACAACAATTTAGCTATTCTGATTCTTGAGCATGTCATTTTTTCCTTTTTTGTACTACAGACACCCCCACACATGTCTAAGACGGCGATGGAGCCGGACGTTGTCGTTGCTGTGGCAACCCGAAACCCCAACTGTTTGGCCTACCCCATCCCGCAACGGCCCTCGCCCTATCCCACAGCCATTATCACAAGTGCTCCTTGTTGCGCTCTCCCGCCCTTTGCGCAAACTTGCTAGAGCTCCTTTTCGATACACCGTCCGGTTTTGGGGGTTTCCAATGGCTTCACGAACCCTCGAGACGCGCTTCGAGCGCATGACCGTCCAGGACGAGAATGATCACGGGGAGGGCACGAGGCTCTACGCAAAAGGCAAGGTAAGCAAGCAGCCCGCAGACGCCGGTGCTTCAATGACGAGAACGAGCCGTGATCGCTGACACCGGGTCTCTTCCCCCCCTCAGACCGTTGTTGCCTCATCGGTGGCAGCACAACAACTCTCCCTCGGGAGCAGTCGGACAAACCTGTTCAAAGTGGCACTTCAGTCGCAGAGCCACAATGCCGTCGCCGCCGTGACTCTCCCTTCGCAGGCTGCCCAGCGGAAAATCAACAACCCGGCATCGCCTACCCGCAAGCCATTGCCGTCGGCGGGATCAGCACGCACGTCGGAAGAAGGGCCAGAGGCGGCGGTCGGCAAGGCCTCCTCGCTGGCAGAGCAGCCCGGCCTGCCGAAGCAGTTCCACCTGGGAATGTTTGAAATCGGCCGCCCCCTCGGCAAGGGCAAATTCGGCCGGGTGTACCTTGCCAGGGAGCGCACCACGGGCTTCATCTGCGCCCTCAAGGTCCTGCACAAGAGTGAGATCCAGGGCGGCGGCGTCGAGCGCCAAGTTCGTCGCGAGATTGAAATCCAGAGTAACCTCCGCCACCCGAATATTCTCCAAATGTTCGGCCACTTCCACGACAGCAAGCGCATCTTCTTGATTCTCGAGTTTGCCGGCAAGGGCGAGCTGTATAAGCACCTGCGGAGGGAGAACCGCTTCCCGGAGTGGAAGTCGGCTCAGTACATTGCCCAGATGGCCTCGGCCTTGAGGTACTTGCACCGCAAGCATGTTATTCACAGGGATATCAAGCCTGAGAACATCTTGGTGGGCATCCACGGCGAGATCAAGATTTCCGACTTTGGCTGGAGTGTGCACGCTCCTAATAACAGGCGAAAAACCATGTGCGGAACGCTGGATTATCTACCGCCTGAGATGATTAAGCCTGGGTCGTCGGATAATTATTACAATGAAAAGGTGGACTTGTGGAGTTTGGGGGTTTTGACGTATGAGTTCCTTGTTGGAGAGGCTCCGTTTGAGGATACGCCAGTCATGACCCAGAGAAGGATTCAAAGGGCGGATATGTCGATTCCGTCGTTTGTGAGCCCGGAGGCTAGTGACCTCATCAAAAGAGTACGTATTTTATTCATCTATTTCGCTCCTGGCCCGGTGGGAATATGCAGTTTGGCTAACCTGGGTGACCAGCTTCTTGTCCTTGACCCCGAGAAGAGAATCTCTCTTGAGCAAGTCCAGGTCCACCCTTGGATTGTGAAGCACTGTGTTAAAGGAGAGCGAGCTACCAACCGTGAGAAGGGGCGTTGAAGGAACGCGGGCATACACACAACTTATTTGGCCTTCTGTCGGGGTTATCATTGTCACAAACAAGGGCGGAGTTGGTACACAGCAACAGCAAAGTGTTTTGGATTCGTCGGCATGTTTTGGAGTAAAGGGGTGTTCGTTCTTTCTTTTCTTTTCCTCTGTTTTTTTGGTTTTCCACTCCCCCCCCCCTCCCTGTCTTGTTCGGGGGCGAAAGGGCGCGAATATTTCAAAAGGACCAAACGATATGAAGCAAATCATATTGAGCAGCTCGCGTGTTTCAGGGTATCGTTATAGCATTGGAATAATACAGACATGTCTAACATGACGTCCTCCTGTGGGGAGATTACGTGGTATTGTTACAAGTTTAGTCGTTCAACTAGGCCTCCTCATCACCTGTATACCTCGTCAAAGGGTCTCGTATCGGAGAAGCATGAATCCCAAACTTCGTTGACAACCTTGGTCGCCTGTACGTCATCTTTGCACCGGGGTCGGGCCATGACGGATTGTATTGCCCGTCTTCTGACGCAGTTTTGAAATTGTTGCGTGACGGACCACTGGCCTCGGGTGAAGGCTTCTCTTGTCCATCGACACTCGCCGCTCAACATTGAAGCTCGGATCTGGGAACAAAAACATGTTAGTACGGCCATAATGATGCCTCGGTCACAAGGGACCTGGTGGGCTGCGAAAAGCAGGCTGTGCAGACTAACCTCGGTGCATGCGGCATGCTTCAAGTCCTTGTCTCCTACCCAGTCCATCTTCCATCGCAAGTGATCCCACGCATGAACCATTTCGTGTGCCACCGTGTCTTCCATGTGCTTACGGTCTCGCACCTCATTTGCACATATCAGGATGCCATGGTTCGGATCGAAGCCGCCGGCCTGGCGATTTACCGTGCCATCCTCCTCCAGGACAGAGGGGCATCGACGGCAATGGATGTTGGAGCGGTCCAGCTTGCCATTGAGGTCTTGGATCTTGTCGGAGAGGAATCGAACTACGGGGGAATACGTGAATAGCCAGTCCTTGTACTCTTCACAGCGTTTGCAGTCGCGCTCCTCGTGGACCTTGTACCGCCATTCTCTATAGTGAAACTTGCCCTCCGGGGTCATCTGGTTCGACAGGATCTTGAAGTAGTTCATCCACCATTTCGTCTCGGGATCGAAGCCAGTGCGGGCAGGGTCATTGACCAATTGCTTCGGCCGGGCTGGCAGTTTTCCATCGCTTGGCGCGTCAGCAGCAGCAACCTGGAGCGAGGCTGCGGCTGCTGCGGACGTCGATGTCGATGTCGACGGGGGCGTGGCGCTCGAAGACGCCATTGCGGTTACAACCCAAGGTAACCCGAGGGCAACCCAAGGCAAGTCCAGTTGCTTGTTTTGCTTTGCCTCTCAACCCGTCTCCAGGCAAAGGCGGAGTCAGCCGCCTTGGTTTTCTGCGTCGGTTGATCTCGTCCTGTATATATTAGGTGTGGGTGAGGCTGGCCGCTGACTGGATATCGCGATTGGAATAGAGTGGATGAAACGCCGCCCCGTACCATGTACCTGGCAAGACTCTGCAAAGCGAGAGCAACAGGGCCGGCCGGAAGGTTGATATTTCGTGCGGTCGTTGGAGTGCGTGAAATCCCACCGCAGCAGTGCGCAACTGTGGTTTAGCGTCTTGCAGCTCCAGCAGCTCCAGCATGGACATGGATTGCCTCCCTCGAGTGGTCCAAGGAGTGAGTGGATGGGGCTGGCGGTGCAAATTTCTGCCGCGCCGCGCCGATCGATGCAGCCTTTTTCCGAAGAGGGACAGGCGAGCTGTCTTTGGGCGGGCGGTGAGCAGGCCAGGCCCACAAGGGCACAGGGGCGGCTCTTACTAAGGCGCGAAAGAGTGGTCCTGCGACTCGCAGTGTCGCAAAAAATACGGACTCGGTACTGCTAGTCAAAAGATACCTTCTACTTAGGTACCTAGATACCTACCAGATCAGGTACCTGGGTACTCAGGAACTTATTGAGACGCTTTTTAGGGGCTTCGTCCCTCTCTACTAAGTATTCCAGGTAGCGGGAATCTTAGGTAGGTACCTAAAAAGGTACGTGGCCTGGTTCTAGTTCCAAGATGATTCGTCCATTGGCTGTTGGTACAGAGTATGTCCCTAGGTACTCCGTACTTCGTACATTTGTTCCGTACTAAGTACGGAGTACATACATCAGCTCAGAGTACGTACCCAAGTACCTCGCCAGGCCATTTCACGTGCAGCGAAACATTCGTCAAGGCTTTTTTGCCTGAAGTCTGCATGAGTCGGCGCGACTCTAGCAGCCTATGACAACTGACGCAATCTGAAAGCGGGTCCGAAGTCGGGCTGGGATGATGCTTCAAATCCAATGAGATGGTCTGGAGACGTCCAAAATAATGAATGCCAATGCCCATAGGGGATGCAACACCGCGCCAAAGCAAGTCTTCAAGATGACGGACGAGGCATTTACGGAGTCTCAAAGTAAGTTTGCCAACATGTGAGAATGCCTGTGACGTATGGGGAGCGCCGTCAGGACATTGTACCATGTACAACTCTGCAGAGTTTTGACAAGGAAGTCCAATTCGCAATGCATTGTATGGCTCCATGTCAGCCGACTCTCCTCTTGTTCTTCTTGTTTGCTTCGCTTCTCGTTTCTCATTTCTTATTTTTATTTTATTTTCCATTTCGTCTCAAAAAGCATCCTGTTCCTGTCTCTTCAAAGTTTCTGTTTAAAGCCTTTCATGGATCTGGTCTTCCTCACGAACTTGCTGACCCCTGAGAATCAAAAGCCGCCGAGATGAAGCGGTCACGACATCAACAGACAATTGTCATTAAACTGGGTACGTCTCTGAGACAATTAGGCCCCCTTCTTTTCTACCTATTCAACGGAAATGGCCTACCGTTGTCGCCGTCATGTCTTGTTATTCTTCATGTTCCAGACGCTGCGTCTAACACGGGTCACATTGTAAAGGGACGAGCTCCATCGTGGACGAGAAGACTCATGAGCCTCTTCTGCCCATTCTTACCTTGATTGTGGACACTGCATTCAAGCTGAGAAAGAATGGCCACAGAGTTGTCATCGTCTCCTCCGGAGCTATTGGCGTCGGCCTCCAAAGAATGGAGGTCGACAAGCGCCCCAAGCATCTCGCTCAACTCCAGGTAAGCTAAAAGCGAAGCTGGATAATTATCCAACGGGTAGTAACAGAGCTTCCTCTCGCTAACATTCATTTTCCATGGTAGGCTCTGGCAGCCATTGGACAGTGCCGTCTGATGAGCCTATGGGACAGCCTGTTTGGTCATTTGTCACAGCCAATTGCTCAGATTCTCTTGACTAGAAATGACATTGCAGATGTACGCCTCTCTCTTGGGCCTCATCTCCCTTCTTATCCTTCGCTTTCGGACCGGCACTAACACAGCTGTGCACTAGCGTACACGATATCTGAATGCTCAGAATACAGTCAACACACTTTTGGACATGGGAGTCATTCCCATTGTCAACGAGAACGATACCCTTGCTGTTTCTGAAATTAAATTTGGCGACAACGATACCCTCTCGGCAATCACTGCGGCCATGGTTCACGCTGATCTCTTGTTCCTCATGACAGACGTTGACTGTCTGTACGACAAGAACCCGCGAACAAACGCAGATGCCAAGCCCATTGAGATTGTAGAGGATTTCTCCGTTCTCGAAGCAGATGGTAAGCCTTCTTCCCCGCACTCCATCGCAAGGTTAAATCGAGAAGTGGAAACTGATTAGCATCCAAAATAGTATCAAGTGCCGGTTCCTCTTTGGGAACAGGTGGTATGAGCACCAAGATTATCGCTGCCAAGCTGGGGACTCTGGCTGGTGTAACCACGATAATTACCCGGTCTTCCAATCCGGGGAACATCCTCGGCATCGTGCGTTACCTGCATACGCAAAAGGTCAGCAGCAGCTCATCTGCATCTGACTCTGATGACCAGCGGAGCCAGCATGGCGAGCCGCCCTTGTCTCATACCACCACCTCGTTGAACCTCATGGACCCGTCCTCCCATGTGGACGATGATGCGCCCCCTCCACTGCACACGCGGTTCCTACCTTCGAGCGACCCGATCTCAGATCGTTACTTCTGGTTGCTGCACACTCCCCACCCCCATGGCACCCTGTTCATTGATCAAGGCTGCCACAGGGCCTTGATGGACAAGGCTGGCTTGCTTCCCGTCGGCATTGTTGACGTTGCGGGAAACTTTGCACAACACGAGGTGGTCCGCATTGCCGTCGTCACCCGCAGGTCGACCCCAGGACCTGACGGACACATGTGGGACGGGGAGCCTTTGGAGGTTGGCCGTGCCTTGGTGAACTATGCCTCTGCGGAGATTACGAGGATCATGGGACACCAGAGCACTGACATTCAGAGCATCCTTGGCTATGCAGACAGCGAGTATGTTGCTCAGCGGTCTCACATCGGCTTCTATAGAAAGGATAGCCGTCCTGTGACTCCCATCAGCGATCTTTTCTGATGACGTTCACGGCATGTGCCGTCGCAAGGCACCCTTTTTCCCACATAGCGTAATTTTGTTCTTATTTTTCGGACACGGATCGACTACAGTTTGTGTTCAGAATATACTACAATCACAAGAGAAGTGATGTTAGAGATATTGGCATTGGCAGCTTTTGCATTCCTTTTTTTTTCCCTCTTATCCATAAAAAGATCAACATTTTGCTGTCTTCGGACGTAATATCCCTGCATAATATGGTCAACTCGCAATCTGCTCTGGTCCCATGTGAAAATCTGTCCTTTTTAAACGCCTATGCAGTGTAACAAGAATGATGCCCCAAATGAACCAAAAATAACGCCAACCATCATCCACGCTATCCATCATCCTTGTTCCCCCCCCCTCCCCCGTCTTAGGTCGTAGCAAATAAGTTATCCTCATCACGCAGATACTCCCCGCAATCCGCCTGCCTGAAACATGTGACACCCGTCGGGTCCAACCGCCGAGCCTCAGCGGTACTTCTCGCCGTGATGCCAAAGCCCAGCGGCGTGTCGTTCATGTTGTACACCACCACGCCCTGGTGCTCGGGGCAGTCGTCCGACCATCTGCCTACGTGGGCCTTGACAATGTTACCGCCGTAGAGGAAGGGCATCTCGCCATTGGGTCGGACCCAGACCTTCCATCGGGCGTGCTCGGAGAGGATTTCGAGGGCGGTGATGTGAAGGCGGAACTTGCCGGTCTTGGTGAATTTGCCTACAACACGAGAAGAAATAACGCAATCAGTATAGGGACGGGGAGTTAATTATCAAGGGAGGAGGGCAGGCTTGGCAATGTTTTTTGTTGTTTTGTCATCGTGGTGCAGGACGTACCAATACAGGTTCCCAATGAGAGAAGCTTGTCACGAGCTATCGACGTAGCGAGGTTGGCGATGGATAGGCGGACGTAGTAGACCCGGTCCTTGTTTAGGCGGAAACAGAAGCGGTCTCCGTCTGAGAGGGGCGCAATGAGGTTCTTGAGAGAGTTGCCGGTGTAGTTGGCTAGCTTGGTGAAGAGGACCTTGGTCTCTTGCTCTGTGAGCGGCCGCATTTTGGTAGGCGCACAGGCGTGAATCTTGGGATTTCAGAGACGGCTATATGAGCAACTGATAGTTTTTGGACGGGCGATTAGGTATCCTGTCAGTCGGATTGTCACGAAGTCGTTGTCTAATAGTTGAAGAAGTCGGTCTGGCGGGCACTAAGATTAAAAAGGCTGGCAAGAGAGTTGAAAAAAAAAAGGCAGCCAGTGCTTCTCCAGGCTTATCGTGAGTGGGACCAGCAGATAAGGAGCAGCCTAGTACGGAGTACAACTGAGGTTGGTGTAGGTATATGATTGGCTGAATCGTTTCTTGTGGAGTTTACCAGATGCAAGTGATGCTATGGCCATATCGAACCTCTGACGTTTCTAGAAGAACGGGTAGTTATCGAGATGCAAGAACGATAATCTTTGGTCTTGGCTGTTTTTAAAAAGTCGATGTCATTACTAATCATTTTGACTTCATGTCTTGAATTGCCATGGTTCTGCTAAACGTGGTGGGCTTGCTGCAACTGCCCAGCTCGTCTGCCATGAACGAAGCACCGGACATTGAGAGTTTCTGTGCAAGACTTGGTGGAATGCGTGGTGCTGACGAAGAAGACAAATTTTTGAATACAAGGTGCACTCTAAGAATGGGGCTTTGGACATGTAACCTGCGACGTCCGGCGGTTGCTGTAGATGTTGGTCCATCTCACCAACTCTGTCGTTTGTCTTGCTGTCCGCGTGCCGACTGGCAGCATACATACCTAGGTGCTTTGAGAAGAGGTTTGAGTCGGTCTTGATCATGCCTCCCTCTTATTTATACCGGTTTTTGGCCTGCGGTTTACACTGTTTACAATTTCTTCTTGTCTGCATATATATACCGTTGCAGGCGACGACTGCCCGTTCTAATCGGCCATGGAGAAGCCATCTCAGCCTATGGCTGAGCAAGATCAAACGTCTAGATTTACTTACTTTAGACCCTAGATTCGGAAGGCACACGATCCCGCAGTTAAGTTTGAAGAGTATAATTACTATGCTTACCAGACGCGGGCCGAGGAACAGGCTTATGTTGCGCCCAAGACAAAGTGGCTTAGGCTTCTATTTGATCACCACGGATAGATATTCTGTGCCCATATGGAGTCGGCTTCGCAATGGATATACACTAGGATGGGGATCAGGTAAGCGATTTCGCCATCTTGTACTACCCATCTATCACTTTGTCTTGTCTGATTCGAGGTAGGAATTGCCTTCTCCGCGATCTTTGGCTTCATGGGCGGCTACAGCGGCCACCTTATCTGGCGAGTGTATCTCGGCGTCGACAGTTACCAGTTCCCGGCGAGGGATTATGGTCATCTTGGGTTCTGCACCTGGGGCACGAGCATGCGATATATCACCAACCGTCTCCAGGCACTAGGGCTTCTCCTGATTCTCGGACAGGTTACAATCCAGTTCGGTCAGAACATTTCTCAGATGTCGCAGTTTAAGCTGTGCTACGTCGTTTGGATTTATCAATATTATTTCTGCGACCTGCTTGTTGAATTTGACTTATACCCTCCCACCACTGTTTGCACTAGGATACGGTATCCAACGTCACGCCCCGCGGGGGGACATGGGTGAAGGTTTCGATCCGACCACGGGAGCAGTGCTTCGCAACAGGGGACGGATTCAACGACTGATGCGCGGTTTCCTGAGCGGTGGTTTACCTCAAGTGTCTGTCAACGTATGGTACGTTGTATATTTCTTGGCATCGCTATCGATGTGTGGTCTAGGCACATACGCTGCCATTGAAGGTGAGTTTTAAAGTGTGAAATGGCCGGCGAGATTGGCGGTGCTGACAAATGATGATGATTGTTGTCAGGCATGGTTGAGGCTTTCAAGCAGCCGCAGTTAAATTCTGTCTCGTGCGTTTTGCCTCTCAATTTGAATGCTTAACCCGGGGGGTTGTCTTGTTTCTGGCAATGCAAGTATGTCTTTTCTGCGACATGTTGTTGGTGGCGCCTAGATTGCAGATCTATATAGCAGAAAATACTGCTGTCGTACAAGTATGGTTGACTTGGGAGCCGTGTAGTGTGAGGCATGGAAATTGACATGAAACGAGACACCTATATATGCCGAACCATCCTATGAGGCACAACAGTGACAGTACTTAAGTACCTAGGTAGTTCGGCAAGAACTGCCAGCTGGAGACTAGACCTGTAAACCTGTTTGATGATGTGCCGGGACTCTCGAGTGTGTTAAGCGTGTCGAAGATGCCGAGTGATGGACATAGTACGATGCGACTCCAAATATTTGAATCTGCAAGCAAATTCATCAAGGACCAGTTGAGTCTGACGGTATTGCCTTGAAGGAGCTTGATGGCTCCATTTCCGTCGTGCCTCAGGCTGTGAGGTGCCAGGCCCATGTACACAACCCTGCCGGGCTGGGTGTGTAGGTACCTGGGTCTGATGGAGGGGCAGCGGAATTGACTTCTGCTGGCGCCTGAGTTTTTCCCTCTGGTTCAATGTTTCCATCTGGCAGGCGCGACCACCACCACCATTTTTCACCTGTTTCCGTCAGTACAAAGCTCCCTCCGTATCGGCGCCAAAATCGGAACACCCACCCTCAGGCGCTCCCATTCGCCCCTCTGGCTGCCCAAGTTCCCACATCTGATGTGTTAGGGTATTGCGGCCTTCCCCTGGATCCATTTCGTTAGGCCTTGCCTTAATCGGGAGTCACACACAGAGCCGTCTTCGAGACGCTTCTAACCCCACCATCCAGTTCATCGAGGGATCAAGTGCGCCAGAGTTTGTTGTGACTCACGCACTTCGTTCCTTGAACGCCTTGATATACGCAGTGGATGAAGCCAATTCGAATTTTACCACGTTCTTCCTCTTCATATCAATCTTCCTTTGTCGCCAGCAGCATATTTCGTCGGTGCCCAGCGACCTGCCCGCGCCACTTTTCCGTTTTTCGAGCCCGCCAGGCTTACCAGGTGCCCAAGTCGCAAAAAAAGCAGCAAACCGCAATGACTACAACGGCAACGACCCTCAAGGGTCAACCCCTTGACAAGCCCGTCCTCGATGCCATGCTGAGGCGGCGCATGTTCTACACGCCCTCTTTCGAAATCTATGGTGGTGTTGGTGGTCTGTATGACTATGGTCCTCCGGGTTGCTCCCTACAGGCCAACATTGTCGATCTGTGGCGCAAGCACTTCATCCTTGAGGAGGATATGCTCGAGGTCGACTGTACTGTCCTGACGCCCCACGACGTTCTCAAGACCAGTGGCCACGTCGACAAGTTTGCCGACTGGATGTGCAAGGACCCCAAGAACGGCGAAATCATGCGAGCCGACCACTTCGTCGAGGCGATTCTCGAGGCGAGACTAAACGGCGACAAGGAGGCCCGTGGTCAAAAGGTGGAAGAGAAGGACGATCCCAAGAAAAAGAAGAAGAAGGCCAAGTCCGAGGCCGTAAAGCTGGACGATGCTGTTGTCCAGGAATACGAAGAGGTTCTGGCCAGAATCGACAACTACGACGGCCCTCAACTTGGTGAGCTCATCAAGAAATACGACCTCAAGAACCCGGCCACCGGTGTCTTGCCGTCGGACCCCGTTTCGTTCAACCTCATGTTCCAGACTTCAATCGGCCCAAGCAGCAACCTTCCCGGCTACCTGCGCCCCGAAACTGCTCAGGGCCAGTTTCTCAACTTTGCGAAGCTCCTTGAATTCAACCAGAGCCAGATGCCCTTTGCCTCTGCCTCCATTGGCAAGTCGTACAGAAATGAGATCTCGCCCCGCGCTGGTCTGCTCCGAGTCCGAGAATTCTTGATGGCCGAGATTGAACACTTTGTTGACCCGCACGGTGGCAAGAAGCATCACCGATTCCACGAAGTTGAAGACGTTGTACTCCTCCTCTTGGATCGCGATACCCAACTTTCCGGTAAGACGGATACCAAGAGAGTAACCGTCGGCGAGGCAGTCAAGTCTGGCCTCG